ATTATTCAATTGGTTTGACATTCATGTGTGCATTTGGGGATTTGTCTGCTCATAGCATAAGTAGGAAAATGGGCTGTATAATCTATTTCCAGCAAATGTCTTTTTAGAGACTCTTTGTGGGAAACCCTTTTAATGGATCTGGCAGCTCCTGTTTCACCAGCCACTGTGATATATTTTTACTGTCTTACTATGCAGTGTAAAGCCAGATACATTCCCGAGTCAACCAGGGTCTGTTAAGAATCCTGAGGGGATCTATTATTTGCTGATATACTTTATTGTTACAGAATAAAAAATGAGTCATTTTACCCAGATAAATCCTCAGTGCCTTATGATTAATTACATTAAAATATATTTTTGCTATTATCAGGCAAACTGTTGTACATTTTTATTTCTGAGGACTATTTGGTGTGTTCATTTTTATTTGGGAGCATTGGGATGGCTTTTTGGATTAAATGTGTGCTTCCTGAAAAAGAAAGACACTAAACACTGAAAATTTTGTGTTTAGTCTTGCAAGCTGAAAACAGCTTGGACTCCTGCTCTGCCCTGTACTGGTCCCTTGTGAGCTCTAAATTTTATGGGATTTTTTTTGGTGAGTTTTTTGGGTAATTCTTTAATGTAAATAACACTACTTTACAAAGGGCCAGGTGGCTCTATGGAGCCATTTAGAAAATGGATGCAAAGCATGCTTTATTCCTGTATTTTTCAAGTAAGTAACAATCATGAGCTCATGGCAGCCAGTCCACATGGATTTAATCCCAAATCCATGGGCTATTTTATATGCCAGGTGGTAAGACCCTAAATCAGCTGTTTTGGTAGAAAAGCCTGCTGGAAGATGAGTGGATTGAGCTGATTTGGGGAGACTTCTTCCACTGGCTTTTTCCCCCTTAACTTCGTTTGTAAACCTCCTTGAAATGAGATGCCTCTTCTTTGTATTTATTCAGCACCTTGTCATGCAAACATTAAAGAAAGCCTTCCATAAGTGCTGATTATTGCTGGTGCTGGCCTGGCATCAGCCCACAAGGTGAGACAGAAACCGACAGACAGAGATGGAAGTGTAAACTAAACCCTTTCTTTTTTTCTGATGCTTGTGACAAACCCTCAGCAGGTAGTGCAATCTTTCATACCAGCCATAAGGTGCTGAAAACCCATTTCACAAATTTCTTGGCTATGTGTCACATATTTCTGCAGTTACTCTGGGGTAAAAAGAAGAGCTATGGATTCTAACTTAAAGTATATGAATAGTCACAACGAATTAATGAGTCCAAATCCACTCTGTGCTTAAGTAACATATAATTTCTATTTCAGTAAGCCTTGCTGGACAAGGACCTGTATCCTTACAGAAATAAACAAGTGAATCCAAGGAGATGTTACCATTCACACCATGCTTTGCTCTGTAGTGACAAAGCACAGAAATTGCCTCTTCCATTTTGTTTCTGTGCCTTGTTGGAACCACAATTTCCCTGTTCCTTTGGAATTTGGTGGCATGGGAGGGGCACATGCCCTTCTCTGCTGCTCCATGTGCTGCAGTGTTTCCATTTCTGCTGTCATCTGACCAGGTCCAGGTTTCTTCTGTTGCTTGCATAAAACGAGGTCAGTGGCTTCACAACAAGGTGTTGTCACATATAATTAGCCCTGCATTCTTCTGAATTTTTGAGAGATAATTGCCTTGCCATGACTTCAGTGGAACAGATAGATGTGTCTCTCAGTCCTTTTATAATTTCAGTGTAAACATGCACGTGTTGCATGGCATAATTTAGATTGAAAGTAAACAAGATCTGTGCTGTGACCTGGGATGAGAAGCCCAGTGGGAGAGTGTTTCTGGCCCAATGGTTTTGTCATAATGACTTTTACAGCACTTGCTGGTGACAGCTGGCATGGGAGCTTCTGTGACCTGGTTGTGGTGATACCCAGAGCCCTTCAGAGCACTTTCAAACCTGTTCTCACTCATGATGGCTTGACACACAGAATCTACAGAGCAGAGAAACCTCTGCTACCCCCAAATATGCCTCTCTGCAGAGAGGAGCTGTAATGCTTCTGGAATCCAGCTAAAAATCAGGCTGAGAGCATCAAATCTGTCAATGGCTTTTACTCTTTGACAGAACAGGGGAACAGAGAGTTTATACAGCTGTTTTTGTTGGCCAAGCCTCAGAAACAGACAGGTTTAATGAAGTGAATACTAACTTTTAATGACTCTCCATGCTCTGAGGCTCAGTTTGGATTTTGGAAGAATGCTCATCTCTTCCCTGCACTTTTCCCTGCTGTGGGGTTCTCCTACTGTTAAGTGAATAGCTAAATTCATCTTGACCCCAACAGAAATTTAGTAGAGATATTAAGCAAACACAGTCATCCTCTCAGAAAGTTCAGTTAACTTCATTTGGTTTGTATATCTAAGAGGAAAGCCACCATTTAATTTCTCAGAAAGACATAAAATGATTTTTCTCTTGGATTCTGTCTGATTAGTACCATTGCTGGCAGAGTATTTTTCAAATAGGTTTGAAATAGTTGGGCTGAGAGGGATTTTTGAGCTGGATGTGCTTGTGCCCTTAACAACTGTAATATTAATAATAAATGTCTTATCCTGAAATCTTTGCTCATACAAGTAATTATTTTTTTAACGTAAGCAAACCTACATATTTTAAGGATTTTTCTGAGAAAATTTTGCTCCTGTGGGTGAACTTTGCCAGCTGCAAGTCTCTGAAGACTGTGCTGATGTGAGATATTTTAGAGTCTGGCCAAAGACCCAAGAAGATGACAAATGATAGTCAGAAAATTAAAGAGCTCTTTGAGTGTCCTGCAACTTTTGTTTTCCTCAGTCCTAAGCTCTCTCAGCAAAGAGAATGTTTTGCCTCAGACTCCATTAATGCCTCTAAGACAGCTCTGAGCTCTCCAACAGGGCTGTAGGACCCTGTGCCACAAGCCAGGACATCAGCAGGTGTCCTGTTCAAAACTTCCCTGCCTGTTCCTTTTCCCTCTGTCACATTTTTTGATTTTCCTCTGAAGGCATCTGTTCATACTCATTTTGGGGGGCTCATGTCTCTGTTGTCTGACAACACAGCATGGCTTATTACCTTGAACAACCCTCCAAGCCTCAGATCAGAATTTATATATCTACATCATTTTCTCCAACCTACTGCCAGGATATTGGAAGACAAAAGTGTCTCAGTATTCAATGACAATGTATTACCAGGTCTTTCAGATTTGTAGGCAGATTCAGTCTTCCAGTGCTTTTCATTTAAGGAATTGTAATCAGTTTTAGGAGTTCATCAAAGCTGGAATAAACTCTAAAGCTGTATGCATCAGCCAGGTCTCAGGTATTGACATCAGAAGATTCAAGAGCTCTTTGATATGATTGGGTGGGGATGAGAAAATGGTAATTTATTTGACATCATCTGACACAGGTGGATCTAAAAAGGACACTTGTACTAAAATAAATGCTGGATTGTGGTGAATTCACTTGTATTCCAAGACCTTCCCTGGTACCAACACACCAGAAATTCACCTTGCATGAAGAGTCCTTATGGATCTGAGTGCCTGAAGGAGTCAGGAATTGGGGATGTGACCTCATGATGTCCTTGCAATGGAGGGACTGAATTGCACAGGGAAGAAGGAAATCACATCAATCCAGCATCAGTGTCTGCATGTCATAGGTAGAAATCCAGTGCTTTCACCTCTGTGCCTGTTTTTCAGGGAGCTCGTGCAGCAGTGTAAGGATTCAGTGTTTGGTTTCAATTTGTAGCAGAGAAGCTTGACTTGGTATTTGCAGGATGAAGTGCCTTGTGTTTACTGATGTGCCTCGTGTTTATCTGCCTCCTCACTGAGAGCCCAGAAGCTGCAGGGCTGCTCTGGACACCACAGTGCAGGTTTGCCCTCCAGAGTGGCAGGCAGAGTCACACTTACCTGTGATACTAAAGATGTGCTTGGCATGGCCCCTGCTGGGGCTGGCAGCACCATCCAGCACTTCTCATGGTTTTTGGCATAAGCCTTAAAAAAAATACTTGTGCAAAAACAGAGTAGCCTAGGAAAAAATAATTTTGATCAAACTTCCTTGGTGAAGGAAGTATTGAAGAAATTTCTCCGTTGTCCCCTGGGACAGGATGCTTTCTGAGAGCTTCTGGACAGCAAAAATGGTTTAAGATTTAAGTAGAAGCCAAATTAAATGACTTCTAGGGGATTTATTTATTTAGTTGCATATAACAACAGGACAGAATTTCAAAAAGTGACACCCTGTATAAATTTGTATAAAATTATTCATATTTAGACCTTTCACACTGGTGCCCTGACTCCTGATCACTGTAAGGGACTGCTGTCACCAGTGGAAAATCACCACCTCTTAAATCACTGGCATTGACTCTGGTGTTAATATTTACAATAGAAAATAAGTAATAAACTGGCCCTGTGAGATGAGCTGCTGTGCAAGCTGGCCAGCTCCTCCCCAAGGCCCACAGAGCACAGATGGATATGAAGATGCAACTTAGCAGGTCACAGAAATATGAGGTCAACTTCATGCCTTGACTCAATACAATTTTATTTCCTGACTGACAGGGGCCTGACACCCCACTCTGATATCCCCCAGCACCGCTCCCTGCTTTATTTATGTGGAAATAAAGCAGAGAAAACAGGCGTTGTGTCTATTTCCAGTGATGGAGAATGTCTCCAGCTGACCAAGGTGTCCTCATTAATGGCTGCTCTATATTTAGCCTTTGCAGAGCCCGTGTGCCCCCAGTTTAATCAAAGACCTGGTAGCCATGGCAACGACACCGAGCATCTGGGTGTGCATGATCTGCCAAACACTGTAATAAAGGGCAGGAAGAGAAACACACAACAGCTTTAAGTGGATTAATGCATTGTTCTTTTCTACTACAGATTCTGAAGTGTTTAGAAGAGCTTCTCAGCCACGAATTCTAGACTATTTTTGCAAAAAAACGAGCCCTATTAACACAGGTGACAGTTACTAATCTCTTTTTTTTGTTGTTTTCTTTTTTCTTAATTTTGTTTTGCAGGTGTATCAGCATTCATATACAGCATATTATGTCCTCAGCAAAATACCTCATGGGTAAGCAATTTTTCAATGTCTTCATTTAAAAACTCAGCCATTAAGAATCCTGCAAAACAATGTGTATTGTGACAAATGCTTTCCTGTGACAACCCTTTGCAATGGCCTGGCTTTCAGCTGCAGCATCCACCGAGCTGTGTGCTGTGCAAAAGATGATGAAGTCTGGAAACAGAAGTACTCAGCTTCCCCAGAGAGTCAGACTACATGAATTTCATATTCCAGATTTCAGGGTTTTTGTCTAGAATATAGATGTGCTGGTGTCTGGCTGAGAGCCATGGCTGGCCACTCACCAGAGCACTGGAGAGGAGAAGGCTCTGGGGAGACCTCATTGCAGCCTCTCAGTGCCTGAAGGGGGCCTGAAGTGAGCTGGAGAGGGACTTTCTACAAGGGCATGGAGCGTTAGGACAAGGCTTCAAACTGAAAAAGGGCAGGCTTAGACTGTATATTGGGGATAGTTTTTTTCCTCTGAGTGTTATTCAGCCTGGCACAGGATGCCCAGAGGAGTCGTGGCTGCCCATCCCTGGGAGTGTTCAAAGGTTGGGTGGGACTTTGAGCAACCTGGTCTGGGAGAAGGTGTCCCTGCCCAGGGCAGAAGGGTTGGAACTGGATGATTTTAAGGTCCCTTAACAACCCAGACCATTCAAACGTTCTATGATTCTTTGATTCTTTAGCTTTGATTAGTTGCAGGTTTTTTTTAATCTCCCTTTTTACGCTTTGTCTTTGTGGTGCCTGTGGTTCCAACTCCATCACCCAACCATTCATGTCACCTTCCTTGTTTCTTCAGGGTTTAGGATTAGGGTTTCTCTTATCTTTTCCTTTAAAAGATACATTCCTCTCCTATATGCAATCCAAGCAGTGTCCCAGCTGGTCAGGAATGGGATGCCACCACACCAGAGTCACATGTAAGCATATGCTGAACAGATCATTTCAGGGTGACATTTCCATAGCAGCAGTGGAAATGCATGACTTACACAGCAAAATCCCTCAAGTCATTGTTGCTAAGTATGAAGCTAAAAGCCAGCAAGCTGCTGCCAGGTTGTGTGTTTTAAGTGTCTTAAAGGTGATAACTGTGCAGAAATGATAAAAAGGGACAATGTAGCTGTCCTCTGCCTTGTCTGTAGTGCACTGCACATGACTCATTTACATACTTGCTGAGATTAGTGGCCATTACTATACATTATGGCTAAACAGACAGTAGGTGTTTTGGATCTTTGAAATAGCTGTCAAAACATGCAAGATTTAAAAAACTCCTTCTGGTTAATATGCAGAATGATGATAGGATCACCAGGTAACTCAGGTTGGAAACACTCTTTTGAGGTCCCTCCTCCTGCTCAAACCAGGTTACTCAGAGGTTTATCCAGCTGGATTTTGAAACCCTGCAGGGATGGGGACTGCACAGCCTCACTGGGCAGCCTGTCATATATATATATATATATATATATATATATATAACACTGCCTGACTGTCCTTAGGGGCAGAGTTTCTCCTTATATCCAGTGTGAACCTCCCCCTTCTGTTCCTACCTGCTTTCTCTCACCAATATCACTGCATTAAATGGGTTGGGACTCGGCAAAACACCGGAACATGTTCCAAAGACCTGTTGATTTCTGCCTCCAGGGGCTTGCTCTGGGAAAAGGAAGGGTGCTGGCCATGCCTGTGCTCTCAGTGTTTCCTACTGCTTCCTGCAGGCAGCTCCCACTGTTCTGAGCACCATGGATCAGCAGCATTCCCACTGGGCAGTCTTCAGGGGAACTCACTTTTCAACATGGATATGTTGTCTTAGGGACAAAAGGCCTAGAAATCAGACAGTGCAACATCTACATTTTTTAGTCCCCTGCCCTCTTTCCAATATGTTTTTTTTTGGTACAGTAACCAGTGGGTTTAAGAATGGAGAGGTACAGATATTTAGACATCTCCCAGCAATTTTTCTGCATAAAAATCCTAGCTACATTCAAAGATTTGTCTCAGCATGCTAGTCCACACACATCCACACACAAACCAAAAAAATGAATTGGAGAAAACAAACAAACAAACCCACAAAAAACCTGCAACCCAACAAAACCTTCAGAAAACAACAACAACAAACTTCTTCGTCTTCTACTTAGTGACAGACAATACTTTGTACAAAAACTAGAGACATACATGATTTAAAATCTTTGAGCCCTGGAGCTTGTGCAGCCTGCTTCCCTCCAGCTTGCATCTTGTGATCCACTCAGCACGAAAAGTCATGAGCTTGATGTTAAATCGTTTTTCTGTATGGTTGGAACATGGAAATTAGATTTCTCACCATCAACCCTGTTAAAGCTGTAGTGTCCATGTGACACACTCCAGACTTCTTCAGTCTCTTCCCTTCCCTGCTGCAATCTGCTCCTTGTTTTTTGCTTTCCTTTTTTTATTTTTTTGGGGGAGTTTGTTTGTGTGTGTGATTTTCTATTTGTTTGTTTGTTTGGGTTTTTGTTTGTTTCAGTTTGGTTTGGTTATGTTTTGTGTTGCTTGGTTGGTTGGGCTGGGTTTTTTCTGGGAATTTACTCAATATGCTTAGTTTTTGAAAGCTCCATCTTCCTGGCAATGTATCTGAGTAGTAGCTTGTGGGCTGAAAGTGTTCAGCACCAGGATGAAGACACAGCATGAGCACATAAGCTTTGTGTCTGCAGCAAACCTGGCTAAGAGCAAAAAAAGCTTGACTGACAGCGCAGCTCTCTTCCAGACAAAACAAAGGTGGAAAAAATAGAAGTATCATACATAAGATGTATTAGAAATGCTAAAAATTCACAATACAGTGGTCCAAGCAGTTTTCTACTAGTGCATGACCTTTCTTTGTCCCTGACACCCAGCTCCTTGTTCCTCCCAGCTATAACTCTATTGTGCAGCCAGCTGTGGCTCCCCTTGCTCTCTGTGTTTGGTTGGGCAGTGGTGCAGGGAACAGAAGGGTTGGATGTGTCAGGAGAGATCCATCTCAGATGTGGAGAAGTTTCCAGCATAAAGGGGAAATCTGGAAAGTGAGGGCATGCCAGAAGGCACACAGGGGTGTCAGGCAGTGGTGTCCCCACAGCATGATGTGGTGGTGGATCAGGAGACCACGAGCTGAAGAGGGGCTGGAAGGATCACTGAATCTCGTGTGAGTAAAAGGTGTGGTTTGCAGTTCAGGCTTTTGGATACATGCACAGGCATTGTAAACTATATCGTGGAACGACAATTTCATTGACCTTCCAGATGATCATGGTGCATGTGAGTGGTGGAAAGGGCAGCACACTGCCATTTCCATGGGACATGGGCATTTATCCTTCCTGTGGAGCTCTGTGGGTATTTAGGGTGGTGCATGAGCAGAGAGGACAGGTCTAGGAGGTGAAGATTGAACATGATGTAACAGGTGGTGAAATACATCAGCTGAAAGTAGAGCCTCTGTTGGATGAAGGGATAAAAACCTCTTTATGACCTATATAATATTTAACACAGGAAATGTTGCTGTGGTGGATATCTGTGGATGAAGGTTGTTGAGGGCACACTGACAGCACCAGGTTCAGTTCAGTCTGACATTCCAGGATCTTTGGCCATGGCTGTGGTGGATATCTGTGGATGAAGGTTGTTGAGGGCACACTGACAGCACCAGGTTCAGTTCAGTCTGACATTCCAGGATCTTTGGCCATGATTGAATTTGCCATCCACAAGCAGCCATCCTTGTCCTCCACCTGTCAGTAACAGCAGTGACAAAATTCTGCACTGAGCAACGTCCCCTTTGCCATTTTTACAAACTGTTTTCAGTTTTTCCTCTTCTACAGGCAGGCACAGCTTTACACCCTGCTGGTGTGTGCCCGTGGCATCTCTCCAGCTGCAGGCCGAGGCGGTGACTGCTGGGGAACAAACCCCCTCCCCTCCACAGTGTCCTCCTGCTCAGCAAACCATCACTCCTGGAAACAGGCTGTGACAGTGTCCCTTTTCCTGTGCTCCCTCTCTGTCCCCTTCCCCATCCTCAGCTATGATCTGCCTCATCAGAAGGGCCAGGCAATTTAGGATTTGCACCCGCTCATGCCCTCGCTACTCCCCTGCTGAGGCTAACTAATAAGGAAGCCAATTAACCTAATATCTGGCATCACTTTTTAAATAACATGCTATTAATCTGCCAGCATAAATTGTTTTTTAAAGGGAATTTTCTAATTATTTTTGCCACATCCTGCAGGCTCTCCAGGTCCAGGCTGTGCCTGAAGTCAAAAGGAGCTCATACCGATGTTTTCCAGATTTCATTTTGAGCTCTCAATAAGTCTGACAAACCAATTTGTCCTCAGTAGGTATGTTCCCAAATGGGATTTTATATAGGACTGCTACATCTTTCCACAGGAGCTGTTGTCAAAGTAAACACTGGGTCTGTATAGGACAGCTAACAGATGCCACTGCCATAGACTCAAAGGATCTGATTTAAAAATTAACATTAACCTGGGGTAGGTCACACAGATTTAATACCTCCCTTCAGATATTTCAGCTTTCTCTCAGCCTCTTGGTATTCTCGGGGTCGAGACCCCCGCTGCTTTGACTCGTTTGCCCTCTGCTCTGGATGGCTGGAGGTTTGCACAGGGGGCTGAGCCCGCAGTTCCCATTTCCCTGGGCAGGGATGTGCAGGGGGCTCTGCTCCCTCCCTCCCTGCTGGCATCCCCAAAACCGCGCTGCTGCCTCCGGCTGCCATCTGCTGGCACCAGCCCTGTCCCGTCTGCTCCCCTCTGAGCTCTGCTGCTTTGGGCTCTGGCTGCTGAGAGCTGCCTGCAGCTGTCTCCATCATAAACATTTCTGCAGGGCTCGTCTCATAACCCCCCCAGCTGCAGCACTGCAGGTGCCAGCTACTTGTAATTGATAGGTACCCAAATAGCATCTGCAGGTCCAGATGTGGAACAGGGAGCTCTCCTGCAAGCTGCTGGGGAAATCTGGAACTCCAGTGCCATATACTGATGGTACTGATCTCCTAACACTATTATTAGTTTTAACTATTTATTTATTGTTTGTTTGTTTAT